ACCGGAATTTGGCCTTTGTTGTTCCAAAACATCATTTTATCAAAATTAATTACACACTTACTTCGATAGTAAGTAGTCCAACCCTAGTATGCATTGGTCTTCAATGTCAGCCAAGTATACTTTCTGTCTGTCCTTTATGCCCATGAGCTCAATAGTTACCCACACTGGCCCTCACAACCTTGCATAATGTCCTGTCACACCACAGAGCTTCTGGTACTCCTTTGTGATATAACATTTTGATACTCACGAGGGTTTGCTGAGATGCAGAATCTATGACAAAGTTGCACCTTTGGCCATCCAGCTTTTCTGTCACATAGACACTATGTGTGCTTGGCATTATACACCTAGCTGTTGGGACTTTCACAATTGGGGTTGGTAGGCGTCCATCAACATGAACCACTACTGGTTTCCTTGAGGCTGACTTATTGATAATATTCTTCTTACACTGGCTCCTCATATGTCCTTGCTCTCCGCAGTTCCAACAACCTTTCCGGTAGCAGCCTTTCCTGCTGTAGCATCACCCCTGTGTTGAAGTTGCCAGCATTGAGCTTTCTTGTGCCCAGGTTTATTACAGTGCCAGCAAAGTCCCTCAAACTTCTCTGAAAGCTGCCCTTGAGTCCTGATGACTGTACCAACATTGGTACCTCTGTGCTGGACTTAACATAGGATTCAAATTCAAGAGCTCTGGCCATTGCATCCTGCATAGTAGAGGGGTGTGCTTGCTTTACTTGTATCTTCAGTTATGGACTGTCCAAGGCATCTACAAACTGATCCGTCAGCAACAACTTGAAGAGATAGGGTGGTGCAGTTGGGTAGGCCTTGTGTACCATACTTTCCAAGTCCTGTCCCAGCTCTTGCAGGCTCTCCTTTTTAGCACAGACTCTCATCCTGAACCTAGCCCTGTAGACTTCGGACTGATTTTGAGTTCCATACCCGAGCTCTAGAGCCGCTACCAGTGCTCTATAGTTGCGTCTGTCGTCTGCTGACAACTGTCCAACTATTTCCAGTGGCTGTCCCTTCAAGCTCGTTGCCAGATACACCGCTTTCTTCTCCTCTACCCATCCATTCACTTCTGTCAGTAGCTCAAATTGTGCTATATATGCTTCCCATGGTGCCTTCCCATCGAATTCCTGTAGCTTCCTTCGTACTGGATCACCCCTATTGTGGACATTCATATCTGGGATGTGACTTCCAACAGGGCTGAAGATGTCTGTATTAGGGTTTAGCTTCGGGGTCTGGAAGGGGCTTGCCATTGTCTGGGGCTGATTAAGTTGATGATTAATGTATCCTCCTTGTGTAAAAGACAATAAATCATCCTTTAATGCATTTAATTCGCTTTGAAATTTACTAATGTTTTCCATTTGTACTTTTTCTCACTGTTGTTGACTTTCCTGTAGTTGCTGCTGACTTTGCTGCAACTGTTGGAGATTTTCTTCCTGTTTCCGTCTTGTTCTAGTTGCCACTGCTGTCATTTCTCATCTTGTTTATTTTGCTGTTCGAGCTGCCACTGTTGCAGATTTTCTTTCCACTGCTGTTGTCTCTCTTCTTGTTTCTTTTCTTTTTCCTCCAACAGCTGCTGTAATCTCTCTTCTTGTTTCTTTTCTTTATCCTCCAACAACTGCTGTAATCTCTCTTCTTGTTTCTTTTCTCGCTCTTCTTGTTTCTTTTTCCTCCAACAACTGCTGTAATATCTCTTCGTTTCTTTTATCGTTCTTCTTGTTTCTTTTGCTATTCTTGTATTGCTGCCATCAAATCTGCTAAACTGTAGCTTGATTTGCCGCTTCTCGTTTTCATATTCTTTTTTTTTGTCCCACTCTCTGACACCAATTTGTTACACCACTGATCGTTTGTTAATTTTCCGTAAAAATTCTTTCCGAAGAAACTTTAGCGATACAAGTCCTTTCTTAAATAAAACTAGTTTATTCTTTCTCAATACAACTTTGCAATACACTTAATTTCCACAGTCACGCTATAACTTGAACAAACGCTATAATTCACAACGAACAAACGATTCACGCGCTTGACTCAATTGTCGTCTCTATCTCTGTCTACAATTCAATTCCCTTGTTGCCGTCACTTCTTGGCGGTCTTATATACAAGAATACCGCACATCTAGTAAACACTCGAGGCTTCACGAAAGGATA